CCCCAAAACCCCAAAACCCCAAAACCCCAAAACCCCGACATTAATGTCTGAAATTGAAGGAAATCAGCCGTCTAAAGGCCAAACCCAGAACGATTTAGAAGTAATCGATGTAAAAGAAAACGATAGTTTTCATGTCAATTTAGATGACATTTTCACTCCCACAGCTGAAGAGAGTGACAAAACTGTAGTTGAAATCCCAGCAAATGAGGTAGTCATTGAAGAGAAGTCTGAAATAGAAGTTAGTGAGACTGTGCCTTTAGATTCAGTCCAAATCCCCTCTCAAGCTGAATCTCAAGAAATCCCTTGTCCTATAGAAGATATGCAGAGTATTAACGGCAATTCACAAGCAGAGAGTATTGAGCCAGCAAAGATAGATACTGAAGTTATCAAAGTCCAAGGGACTGTTTTTAATCAAACAGACTGCAATAAGGTTTATGAATCAGAACGAGTAGATTTGACAGAAGATGTATCAGAGATCGATGAACCTCCTCAGATAACCCCCAGAGTAAATCCCTCTAAAATCCTGAACAATAAAGAAAACACACTAAACAGCATCTGAATTCCTACAGATCCTCTCACACTTGAAGAGCGAGATTCCTGAATAAACAATACTCAGACTAAAGATATTGAAATGACGGGAAACACATGAATCTCCCAGAAAAGTGGCAGAAATAAGTCTCTTAATAACGAAAAGCAGGATACTTCAGATATCACTGAACAAATGAGAGATTTAAACATTGACCCTACAAAGTACTCACAAGATCATATTAGCAACTTATGAGAGAGCTTCTCCCAGAAGATGGACTTAGATCTTGGAAGATTAGACTACCTTCCTAAAATACTAAAATTTCAAGCCTTTGCAATAGATTTTACCAAAAAGAGTCATATAGTACAAGAATTCTGCAAGAGATGGTGGTATGTACTCCCAGTATGGCCTCCTATTAACTATGACTACACTCCATTGCTCAGGAAGAACAACCTTAGACTTGTACAGAAAGAATACTGGATGGAAACTCCTGATTATAATGGCAAAGACATCAAAGAAAAGAAGGTATTCGAAGATCCTCATAACAGAGGGATTTTTGAAGACTCAGAAGGGCTTCTTTATGATCTTAGACCACATGAAAACTGTCCATCAATCTCAAACTTCGCCAAAACTGATTCAATTAAGCTTATGAACCTTCTATGTGAAGCTTACAAGTGCCAAATCCATGAATTAGAGAACATAGATCCTTACATGATTCAAGACATAGAATTCCACAACCAAAAACTAGTCCTTTACAATTACTTACGCGAGAAATTAATCTCTCACATAAACGAGCCGCCAGTTGAATTTCTGGAAGAATAATTTCAAATATTTTTCAAAAATCCAGGGGTTTTGGGGTTTTGGGGTTTTGGGG